TAGGTGGGTGTGGGGAAGAGGGAGGAAGGGGGGAACGGACCTGGCGATCCCAGTCTCTACATATCGTGTCGAATATATGTTTGACGGACTCGATTTCCTCGTCGAGGTATTCGTCCATGTTGCTCTCGAACATCTGGTACCTGAAAGAGTAAAATAAGCACGCAAATGAGAACTTGGATAAGCATGTAGTAGGGTAAAGGGCACTCACACGACATCCTCCGCTCGAGTCCGTCCAATGACTTCCTCCGCGCTGACTGGTTTCTCCCCACTCTTATCTCCCGCGCGCTCTCTCGCTCCGGCAGCACGCATGATAGCATCCACCATCCGCCACGCCTCCTTGAACGACGCCGCCGTCGCTTGGAGGAACACAGCAGACGCTGGGGCCGCCCGGGCGCGTGTAAGTAGGGACGTTATGTATTCTCCGACCTTTAGGTACGGTGAGTGAGAAAAAAGGACAGGGTGAGTGGGAGACAGACGAACGAACGTACCACCTCACCCGCCACGCGCTCCGCGAAGCCGAGCAGGACCTGCGACGCAGGCGGAAACACACGAACGGCCCTCGCACCATGCTCCTCGATCGCCTCCAATACCACACCCATAAACTCATCCATCGCATCAAAATCCAACGCCCCATCCTCCGTAAAATTCCCCATAGGATCCCACCTCCCCTGCACATAAAAAATCTCCCTCTTCTCCGCCCACACCTTCCCCATCTCCCACTCCCCCACCACCCCGCCCGTCCCCGCCCACACCTCCCAGCTCGCCTCCGCCGCCTCCCGCATCCCCACCTCGTCCCCGCGCCCGTCGGCGCCGTCGAAGGCCGCGAGCATGCTCGCGTCGAAGCGGTCCGTCGCGGCGCGGAGGGCGGCGGAGAGGGGGCGCCAGGGGCGCAGGGGCTGGATTGGGGGGGAGAGGAAGAGGGCGAGGAGGTGTAGTGTTTTGGCGCGGGTGCGGAGGGGGATGTCCTGGGCGGCACTGGTGGTGCTGGAGGAGGATGAGGGCGGGGAGAGCGGGGATTTGAGCCCTGGGGTCGGGGCGAGGAAGGTGGAGAGGGCGGAGAGGACGAGGTGTGGGGGGGTGGAGCCGAGGGTTTGGGCGAGGGGTTTGAGCAGGGTGTGTGCGCGGATGTAGAAGGCGCGTTTGGTGGGTGCTGCTGTGGCTGCTGCCGTGGAGAAGGAGAGAGAGACGGGTGGGGACCCGACGAAGTCGCCGTACTCCCCTGCAGCGGCAGTGTCTACAGCTGCGAAGTCGCCAAAATCGTCTAGATCGTTGGACACGGACAGCGTTGGAGGAAGCGCAGCCCGTGTAACCCCAGCCTGGCCCTTCTGTGCGGCTTCGAGTGCGTCGAGCACCGAGCCCAAGTTGTACTTCTCCACCCCTAGGGAAAGCCACCTCGCCTCCCAGAATTTCTCCTCCTTTACAAGAACATTGAGCGCCCTAGAAGATCGTGCGTAGGCAGGAACATCAGTGATCGGGAGGAAGGAGAGCACCAGCTGGTGGAGGTCGACAGGGAGTCGGCCGATCAAGATGGGGGCCGGCGGGGGTTTGGTCGTAGCATGGCCGCTGCGGGATAAAAGGCGGGCACCGGAGGACGCATACAGTCGGACGGGCTCTAGCGTCGCAAACTTTTCCATGCCGTCGTCGTTGCCTGAGACGACGACCAACGCGGTTTACCCGTCGTTGGCAGTCACGTGCTGCGCAGTTGCCGGGCCGGGCCAGACTTGAAGTTGTTTAACTTTTTGGCACAACTCCTTCTCCCCAAACCCAAACCACGCGCGATGTCCGAATGTGACTTACTCGATATCGCTGGCTGGGCGTCTGTTAGTATATGCCAATCACAGCTGCATTTAACCGCGTTCTGCGAATTTACACGAATCAGAGGACCCAGCCTCAACAGTGCTTCACACCACCAGCACGCTCTCGACGTCCTTCAGCATACGGTCCTTAACGGCTCTGTGGACTCGGTGATCTATGGAGGCTGAGATACACGGGGACCAGAATAATTTCCTTGTGCAAGGTGACATGTCTTTCCATGATTCCGAAGCCTGTGTACATCGACACTGACGTCTCCCGCCTTTCTCGTCCATCATGCATCAGCCCTGGCCCGAGCATTCCTTGCAATGAATCATGATCTAACTGATAAAATCGAGAGTTAGCATGAGTGGAACCAGAGAAACGCACGCATAACCTGGACGAATAGCCAAATTCCTCCGCCGCTTCTTGAGCCTTCACTTCGGCAGGATATCCCGCAGACCCCCCGACCGCCTCCGTACGTTCATGCCCGTCCTACATATACATAGTCTCCGGTCGTGTGCCGTCAACCACGAAGACCCCGGTTGTCGACCAGCGACTTTGAACCTGCGCCGCCCCACAATCGATCCCTCCTAGCTCGTTTCCAAGTACGGCCGAGGCCGAGGCGGCGCTGTCCGTCGATCAAAATTTTGGAGGGCTGGAGGAGAAGGGGATAGAAGTGGGAGAGACACCGTGAGTCAAGGAAGTGAATCGCAAAAGAGAGGACGTACGTACGGCTCGGGCTTGAGCTTGGGGGCGTTGGCGGAGGGACGTCTGGAAGATGGCGAAAGTGATGGGTTCCCGGCGTTTCCTACAGAAGGTGTATTGAGCTTCCCGTCATGTAAGGCTGGTCAATAAAGTTGGTGTATACCTTGGAGTACATCGAAATTTTCCGCCTGCGCTTGTGAACGCAGTGCGCACGGGAAGCCCCGAAAGCTGGCGGACCTGGACCTCTTCAAAATCGACCCGTCGGAGTATGTAGTAGGGTGGCGCGTCCACCAGTCGTTCCCGACGTGCGTCAATATGTATATAATCTTTAACGACACGTTCAGCCGCCATGTTGATGCAGACGAACGAGAGACTCACCCACGTAGAAATTTCCGTGCCGAAAAGCAAATCATCATGAGACACTGCGGTCCCAGTTGATGGCCTATTTCATGGTCTGGTCGAGGAGAGTTGGTTGAATTTTCTACGTCTATAGCGCTACTGGAGGCCTGTTACGATTGACAGGATGATGAACAGAGATGGAGGCTGTGGGGAGCCTGAAACCTGTAAAGGCGTCGAAAGAGGTAGGAGACCCGTTGGTTGTCCGAGCAGGACACGTTGGGGAGGCGTGCATGGTCGGCAGATCCTTGAGCTCAACATCGGTCGCGTCGAGCCGATCATTGTTGATGACGACGGGCAAGTTCAACAAGTTAACGGACTGCAGCCGTGTCTCCGATGCCACGTGGTTGAGTTTGCTTCCGTCGCCAATCTCCGAATCCCCTCAGCTTGATTCATCCTCTCTCGACACGGCACGCATGGCTGACAGGCCGTGTGAGCCTGGCCCGCATACGATGTCCTCTCAACTTCTTAAGATACACAATACACATATCCTCGGATTTGATCTAAAAAGGCACAAGTGCCATGGTCGATCCTTCTGTTCAAGTCTATCCGAAGGCCGTCGGAGAGAAGAATGAAGAAGGTTGTATCCGAATTGATCACCGATTCTGCTCCTTGTGTATATCATCCCAGCTTCCGAGGTGAAACATCGACGGAAGGCTACTCCAGACCTTTTCTCTCCCCTTCTGGTGCTGAATCTGAACCAGCTCCAGACAATGTTGGCACACCTTGAGCGTGTCCCAGTCTTCGTACTCGTGCAGCGGGTGTGGGTTACCGCGAAGCTCCTCCGACCGGCGCCAGGTCATCGTACCCGGCAGGCGCGACACACATGCGAGCTGACACTTGTACGACTTCGTAAAGTCAAACGCGAAGCGATGCGTGAGTGACTTCTGTGCTTCCCAAAGTTGATCTCTTCCGGCAAGGCACAAGGCCTTGTCCTTCCAAGAGAGGACAGGGTCCTGGAGCAGGGCGTCGGTGACGATATTAGTGGAGATGTAGAACGCCCAGGGAAGGATCTCGGGGACATTCGCTTCGCGAGCGAGAGGGATCGCGCGCACGATGGTGGATGAGACATATTTGTACCCGGAAGACAGGAGGGCGTCGCAGCCCTTGAGAGTAGACGGGAACTTCGTTTGAAGGATAGAGATGCATTTCCGGCGGAGGAATATCAGATTATACTTCGTGCTGATTCGCAGGATACCAGAGACGAACGAGATGAGTGTGGACAGCTCCGCGTCGGGCATAAGGGTATCGAAATAGCTATGGAAATTGGTTATCGAAGTGGACGGGGACGCTGCAGATCATGATGGAACGCACAAAGGTTGGTAAAGGGCCTTCATAACATCGGTAAAATCGGAGAGGCTATCCGATAAATGGACGACGGGACATCCTTGGATCATGAAATCTGCATCCTCTGATGGCTGAGGGACCGTAAACAGGTCTGCGAAAACATCAGAATGCTGGCTCAGAATAGATTGATGGACTCGAAAACCAGTATTCTCGACGATGAGAACTATCGACCCGTCGCTGAACCAGAATTCGCTCTGCGTAGGTGATTCGCATGTCATGGATAACTGTACCACGAGGTGATGGTTCGGAATAACGTATCTTGCTTATGTAATGGTCCGGGACACTTCTCAACTCTGATGGCTGAGGGACCGTAAACAGGTCTGCGAAAACATCAGAATGCTGGCTCAGAATAGATTGATGGACTCGAAAACCAGTATTCTCGACGATGAGAACTATCGACCCGTCGCTGAACCAGAATTCGCTCTGCGTAGGTGATTCGCATGTCATGGATAACTGTACCACGAGGTGATGGTTCGGAATAACGTATCTTGCTTATGTAATGGTCCGGGACACTTCTCAACAGCCGACGAGACGGGCAACGGGAGAGAACTTTCAACGCTAGACGACAAAGGTTGCAGAATGTACGGATCTGCATAAATCTCTTCCATTTACATGTACGCAAAAACTTCCCCTACACTTGGCACTTGCAGCTTGCCCGTAGGCTCTCGATTGGAACATGGCAAGTTAAGTCATTGCATTATTGCGCCAAGACTCCCAATAGCAAGGAACAAACTCTGAAGAGGAGATAAAGTAAAATATGAGTCGACCCAGGTTTGAACTGAGGACCTTCTGTGTGGAACAGGTCGCTTTACAAGTCGATGTTAGACAGATGCGATGACCAACTACGCCATCGACCCATACTAGGCGGATGGGCCTTACTCCCTTGGGCTGAGCATGGGGTTTTGCAGACTTCGTTACGGCTTCGATCTTGCATATGTCGAGGGTGGTGTTCAGGGAGGAGAGCACAGTGGAACGAGGGAAGGTGGGGGGCGTACTTGGATCGTTTCTAAGAGTATAGGGTATCTAGCGCGGAGACCGCTTAGGCCCGCAGGAGTGGTGTGCTGCCCTATGCGAGCATGCATAGGGTTCTACCGATGAAACGCGCAGTACAATCCGTGGATCGCGTCAAGATTGTTGACGAATCACCGAGTTGCCCACGACTTGCCAAGGATTGGCCGCGATGCCCAAGAGGGCTCAAGCATTGACGTCTCCTCCAGTTCTGTTGTTCCTTGCTATCCTGTATTAACCCGACGGACCCAATAATTTAAGGATATACATAGGCGTGAAGTATACGTTACGGTCTATCCACCTCCTTGCCCTTCCCCGTCCTCTCCTGCAACGCCTCAAGAAGCTGCTGCATCAAACGCCCCTGGACATCCACCGTCGCGCGCAGTTCCGATATCTGACGACTCAACTCCGTCTGATTTTGGGCTAATTTGAGATTTGATAGGTCGTTTGGCCGCTGGTGGTGACTATGAAGGAATGGTGTGGTGGGAAAATAGCTTTCAACGGGGGAGTCGGCTTCGTTCCGCTCTTCGTCCTGCTGGGGATTATATAGACTGCTTTTAGATATGGTCGAGGCAAATTTGGGGAGAGGACGAACCTGTTTGCTCGTCATTTTCTCCCAGACGACACTGAACTCCCGCCCGAGGACGAAACTTGGAAGTGTAATGAGAAGCAGTCCAAACATGAGGATGGGCAGCGTAATGAGCCGCCCCAAGAACGAGCGCGGTGTAATCTCGCCATATCCGACTGTCGTGATGGCTTTACGAGAGATGGATGATTAGTCGTATGTCGAAGCTGGAGCACTAAGACAACTCACTGACAAGAACGAACCAAGCTGCGGCTGGTATAGACTGAGAAGATATAGATGAGGGCAGATCATGAGGGAAGCAAAGATGACACTTACGGAGAACTGGGTGGGGTCTCCATCGGCGTTGACGAAAGTTTCCAGGATAGGGTCCCATGAACCCCGCTCAGCGAAATACCTGAAGTGTAATTCAGCGTCAGTATTGCATCACGACGTCAAGGAAAGACTCACAGAAGGGTGCTGAAGACTGTGAGTATCATCATTACGAAGAACCCGATAGCGAGAAGCGCATGCTGCGACCGTCGAACCGACACGTACATGACTTCGATCGTGCTGAATGGACATAAAGCTCGTATCTGCAGAAAGCATGCAATATGCGATAAACTCACAGCAGGATGGTGTTGTTGTAGCGAAAAGGCTTGAACACGCGTAAAAGACGAAACATGCGTAATATTGAGAATCTGAATAAGATTGACTGAACCCACGTCAACATAAGGTGACCGCTGGGCGATCGGGGAACATACGGTATCTTGCTGAAGTATTATCTCTATGTAATATGGTGCTACTGCGAGGAGGTCGATTATTCCGAAAAATGCTGTATTTTTTACGTAATCAGTTAACAGAAGCATGACAAGAGCCGAGAACATACACGTCTGCCACTTCAACAAGCTCATCCACGTCCCACTCCATGCCAGACACCGCGCGACGTATTCCACCGTGAAGAGCGAGACTAAAGTCGTCTCAATCCCAAACCAGGCCCCCGTTGAGATCGTGTGCAATGACGGAACTGTCTCCAGTACTGTGACCAGGGCCGATGTGAGAATGAGGAACGTCACGAGCATATGCAGCATGATGGCTGCAGTTGACGACTTCGGCTGCTCCAGTAATGCATGAAGGCTCCTTTTCCATGGAGGATGTATGGCTGCAAGCGTGGTCTCATCACTGGACAACGTCTGCGGGAAGATGTCGCCAACCTCTCCTGGCGACCGGATAGGGGGGTCTTCAGTGAGAAATCTCGCAGAATCAGTTGGCCGTAGGGGGGTGAGCTCGATGGAACGAGCCATTCATGGGCGTCGGTGGATGCGGTGGTGATGGTGAAGGGAGAAACGGTCGACCTGGGCATTTTCCTCGGCAACTTCTGAACACCACGTGACCGATTGCTCGAATTCTGTCCATTTGCACGTCGTTCTCCCCGTTCACAAGCCTCCATCCTTCTAAGCTCTTTCATCCCTCCTACATTACCATGCACAGCTGTCTAGATTATTTGCGATATTCCTGTCTCGGACAGTCTGTGTCAAGATTATGTCGATCACTTATGGGGTTATTTTTGGATTAATACAAATTAATTTGATTTACGTTCAGAATACAGGGCTTCCGCGATCTTCGCGCTCGGACGACTCACTGCTTCACTCCTGTACCCTGGATTCGCGTTCTCCAGGTATATCTTCTCTCTTGGGACACGCGTCTAAACTCGTCAGCTGGATAACTGCGGTTGATCTGAATCTGATAGCTCAGGCTTCTATTGCATTAGCGCCCAGTGGCATACTTAATCTCGACAAGAGCCCCTCTACCTATCCTTCCTTTCCCCCAGTGCTCGAACAAGACGTCACTTGTGAATTTTGTCAAGATCTAGCCACAACGCGACAGCGACAAGCTGACATTCCTTGTGAGTCATCCCCGGTGTTCGTCTTCGTTATCACTGATGGTACATCTTGACTCAGGATGGGACAACCAGACAAGACGAAACCCGCCGATGCGGTTCCAACAACGCGAGGATATCAGCAAGAAATGCTGGAGGAAAGTCTTCGTAGTAACATCATCATCGCCTTAGACACTGGGTCGGGCAAGACTCATATCGCCGTCCTGAGGATGAAAATCGAGGCTGAGCGACAACCTACGAAGGTCCGACTTCAGGTCGTTTCTTCTGGCCTTAGCATCTGAAATACATTACAGATCTCCTGGTTCCTCGCTCCTACGGTAGCCCTATGCGAACAACAGCGAAACGTCATCCGAGTCTCTATTCCTGTCTCCGTGGGTCTTATCTCTGGCTCCCTCGAGCCCGACCAATGGAAAAACGCGGCGCTGTGGAGAAGTGTACTTGTCACACATAGAATCATGGTCACAACGCCCCAAGTCCTTCTCGACGCACTTCGTCATTCTTATATCAGCCTGGGCCGCGACATTAGTCTGCTCATCTTTGATGAGGCGCACCATGCTGTCGACAATCACCCATACAATAGGATTATGAAGGAATTCTACTTCAATTTACCTTTACAGAAATCTGTTGTATCGATTGATGCCCAGCGACCTTCAGTGTTGGGCCTGACTGCCAGCCCTATCTACGGGGGCAATGTCGAAAAGGCGTTCAGGTCCGTGCTCTCACCTTGACTTGACGACTGTCTGTAACGTCCTGTCTTCGCAGAACAATAGAAGAGAATCTAGATAGTATGATCCGCGCTCCACGCCGTCACCGTGATGAGCTGGCAAAGTTCGTCCATCGGCCAGTTTTTCGACACGTCATGTACGAGCCTGCAGACGAACTCGACCCCCCGTTTTCCACCAACGTCGCTTCGCTATGTTCGATCATAGACACGTTAAACATCGAGGACGATCCCTACGTACACTCTCTACGCCAACAGCTATCTCGAGCCGCTCGTGGAACCGCGGAGTACCACCGCCTCGATCAGAAACTATCCAAGGTTATTCTCAAGGAGGACTCGTTTACCCATAAAGGGCTCAAGGATTTTGCGAGGACCGCCGGTGTCATTCGCGAAGACTTGGGAGCCTGGGCCGCTGACTGGTACGTCTGGGAGGTCATCCAACACGCTAAACGCGCCGCGAATCCGTTCAACAACATCATTACGACCTGGAAGAATAAGGAAAAGGAGTACTTGCTTGGTATCATCGAAAGAATAGCCGTCCTCCCTGTCTCGTTCTATCCCGACGACGTCTTGGAGGAAACCTCGGACAAGGTTCGGGCTCTGATAGAAACATTACTATCCGAGAAGCTGGACTCGGAAGCCGAGAATGAATCATACAGCGGCCTCGTATTCGTTCAGCGTCGCGATACCGTGCTCGCGCTCGCCGAACTTCTTGAGCACCACCCCTTCACCAGCCGCCTTTTCAAATTTGGACGCCTCCTCGGAACCTCCGATAACGCCCAGCGCCACTCATTCCTAGACATCACTCGTACCATGCTCAAGGAGTCTCACGAAGATACCCTGATGGACTTCAAGATCGGCGAAAAGACTGTTATCATCTCGACCGCTGTCGCGGAGGAAGGAATCGACATCCAGGCTTGTGGTAGTGTCATCCGATGGGACCCGCCTCAGAATATGGCGAGCTGGGCTCAGAGTCGGGGACGTGCTCGGCGGGAAAGGAGCACGTACACCATGATGTTCGCGCAGGGAGGGAAGGACCAGCTTAACGTTTCGAAGTGGCAAAACTTGGAGAGAGAGATGATCGCTCTATATAACGATCCGTCGAGGGAGGTGCCCGAGGAAAGTGATCTCGCGACGGAGGAAGATGATTACGAGTTAGAGTTCCGGGTACCGTCGACTGGGTAAGTATTGAGCCGTACTTTCTCATTCTATAGTCGAGCTGAACCGTCCTCAAGCGCCCTTCTAACCCTTCATTCCGCCGTATCCCATCTCTCCCACTTTTGCGCTGTCATCCCGAATAGCGCCCATGCCGATAATCGGCCACTATACGACATTGATCCACCCGAGATCCCAGAGGGCTGGCACGCTTTTGACAACCGGACCAGATCAGGTATAGCTGCTTACGGCGGCCCGTGGGGCTCAAAAGTAACTCTGCCGCGATCCCTGCCCATTCCAAACCGGGAATTTGAAACGGAGCGCATCTATCGTAGTAGGATATCCGCCCACCGTCATGCTGCGTTTATAGCCTACCGAGCGTTGTACCACGCCGAATTGCTCAATGAGCACCTGTTACCCATCACGAGCATTGTCGAACCCCATCTCGAAGACGAGGTCAAGGAGATGCTGAAGGACGTCGAGAAACGCGCGGGCATGGCTAATGTTTCTA